AATAAGCTGGTTTGTTTGTTTATATGTTACGATGTTAATCAGTTTATGTTATGTGTATTGTATATTATTACTTCTGTTATGTTATTTTGTGCAACGTATTCTGTCACTCCCTTGTGCTGTTAATGTCCAATGAGACTACTGTGTGCTAGTTTGTGTCTGTTCCATATATGTTGTAATATGTGTTTAGTGTGAAAATGTATGTTTTGTTTTGTGATGTCAATAAAAAAAAAGTGTGGAATATTGAGGTCGTACTAGGCTGAGATCAAACTATGTACATACATATGTACCAGTAAGTGTAGAATATTGAGGTCGTACTAGGCCGAGATCAAACTATGTACATACATTTGTACCAGTAAGTGTGGAATATTGATGTCGTACTAGGCCGAGATCAAACTATGTACATACATATGTACCAGTAAGTGTAGAATATTGAGGTCGTACAAGGCCGAGATCACACTATGTGGGTGCGTCGTAACTGCACAGTGAAGAACACTTTTGGTAGCAAATGGTGACCTGCCACACACAGAATTATTAGAGTATATTTTAGTTTTACTTAGTTTTTATTTGATGAAAACAGAAATTATCATAGTCACAGTATTTAACACATGTGGATGAAATAGCTATCATTGCAATAGTGCTTGACATTATTTATTAGCGGCCAAGTTGTTTACGACAAACAACTACTGTTGCCATTGAGCGATTTTTGTCCGAACCGGGCTTCTTTTTCTAAAATTCGACAGAAAGCACAAAGTTATTGATAAGAATTCCTTGTACGTCAATACAAACTATTTCAGCCTTGCAGTTAAGGCGATTATGTGACATATTGACGAAAATACTTGGTGATTGATACGTATCCAGTTAACACATATTTATTTAGTGAATAAAAGATTCGGAAGCATAGTTCATTCAATTTAACCTAATACTGGTCCACATTTTGTTTTATACTTCAAAGTATCTAATCATTGTTTCAGGGGAGTTCTTTGTTGACATTCAGTTACCGATAACTTTTTCTTACGAGACGAGGAAATCCTGCAATGCTCTTCCTATCGCCACATCTGAGTTCACTGCCACCATCCAAGAAGCAATTAACAAGTTCAATGTCTGCCGTGGTCTTTGTGAGGTACTGTATAATATATCTCAGAATTTACTGATCACCAAAGCGCCTGGAGTCTTAAAAAAATTATCCTGTTTTCATTATTATAATCAATTAATAATAACTTTTGGGTGGATTAATTGGTATTTAACATTAATCTGTACAGTTAAGGATTCGGAGGCGGAGGGACCTGTCATGCCCTAGGGGTGTGAGGTGAGGAGGCGCAAAGATATGTCATATTCTGGGGTGTGGAAGTGCAGAGGGGAACCTGCCTTAGGGGGTCTTAGTGTGTGGGGGGGAGGGGGGGGGAGTAGCGAGTAACGTGACTGCTGGGGCATGCACTCCTGGAATAACATTCTGAGGAAATTTACAAAAATACGTTTTTCATGTTACATGTACATACATGTAGGACAAATGAATGTGTATCTTGATAAAGTATGTCACAATGAAATTTGACCACTTTCAAATAATCAATAAATAAAAGAAGAGCACTTTACAATCCAGGTGCAAAATTTACGTACTGACTGTCAGGACGGGAGTCAGCCAGACACATCCGAGGTCCGAGTGTCTCTCAGCGTTCTGCTGAGAAACCCAGAAGAAAACGCCGTGTCTCCTGGATGCGACTCCACGTGCAAGAGGAAGAACCTTAGAGAAATCCTGGGCGATTCATTTGCGCTTAAGAACAGTATACAAAAGCTGGTAGAAGGTGACTCGCCTCAGCTCCAACCTGTAGCCCTCTCTGAGTTTGACCTTGACACAACGTCCTTCACCTTTTCCAGACCACAGATGCTATGTGAGAAAGGACGTGTCTTTACCAAAAACAGGTTATGTGGTAAGTGTAGTTGGTATGGATTCACGAATATTCCATTATTTTGAATATAGATGTAGTACGTGTTGGTATTTTTTTTTTTTTTTTTTT